TAAGGTATAATATAAATGGTATTGTATAATTTAGGAGGATGGATATTCGGTTTCAGAGTTGAGGGTACTATATAGACTAGTTCATGGGTATTTAGACTTTTTTTTAAGAACGTTATTCTTTTTTTTAATCTCTCTTTCTTTATTGGCTTCATAACTCAATACTTTTTGAAAATACAAGGGAACACCACATGACACATAGTAGTACTACTGTTTAGAATTGATGGGGGCCAGCTACCAAACTCCATCACACTACCAATATTACGTACACATATATATAGCTGCTACATGTATATTGGCCGTGCAAAATTGGCTGTATAGGTTCCGAGACAAGGCAACACAACCACGAATTAATCCAAAAATGATGAATATTACTATTAATTATGGTACGAAAAGAAAATGTAAGTGAGATATGCATCAACCGTACGTACGTAGTCCTGCTACTTTAGTTAATCATTAACTGGTAAAGAAAATGTTTGACTGCATTAATATATATCAATTGAAAAGGCCAAACGTGTACAGGCCGCGTGAATGAGCGATATGTGTTAATTAGTTTCAATTTCCTAGTACTGTTAAGAGTGGGTGTCACATTCACTAATCGATCGTATGGCATGGAGTGCGAAATAGCCTTGCAAAAAGTCTCTCGAATCGGACTTCTCACTGGCCATTGATCGAATTATTGACTGCTTCAAGATCTGGGCGGGGTGAGGCTGACACAAATTCGACCGAGAAAACTACCTGAGAAAACAAGCAAGACAAGATCGCGATCTGGACAGGGAGAGAAAGAAACAAGCAAATTAATGAGTTGTCGCCAGCTAGTGTATATATCCAACAGTAAATTACTAGATGCTTTAGAATGGAAAGAGACTAGAGATAGTCATCTGTAATTTAAATCTAAACCACACATGATGATGTGCTTCAGAGGACACGTACGTTCTGAAAATAAACATTTTTCCGGAGTAAGTGTATTTTTTAAAGCGTAGTACTATAGTCTGGTCGAGGGATGGCAGTCGGGCACGACGGACAAGTACGGGTAGTGACTATCCATGCATGCTCGTGCCCGCGAGGTAATTTATGCCTGCGGGCATGCCCATTACTACATGACGGATAAGGAACAGTGCCCACGCCTGTCGCCCGCGGGCACATGGTGCCCGCGGGTATGCCCGTTTACCCGTCACAGACTCATAGTTCAACACTTCAACCACAAATCTCCATAAACATAGAATCATTATCATAGTTTAAAAAAATGGTGCAGTTGTATCAAGTTTAACGATACAAGCATTACAAGTTCATCAATCACAAATGACATAGTTCGACATAATGATAGAATCAAACACACATATGAGCATAATTAGACATAATAGATCAAAATCGGGAGGGACAAGATCGAAAAAATAAACAACTAGTTCTAGAGTAGGAAGAGAAGGGGAATACCTTGCTCAAGCAAGGCTGGAGGAAGGTGTGGCCATCGACGACTGGAGGGTGTGGCGGCCGATGGCAGGAGGACGTCGACGGCCAGAGGGGGAGCTCGGCGCAGTGGAGGTAGGAGGTGGCGACGACCGGAGGTGGGAGGCAGCCGAGGTGGATGAAGGAGGTGGCCGACGGCGGTGATCGTAGCCTGCATGGCTAGCTGCCTCTCCCGTGGTGGCTGTGAAAGTCACCGGGGACGACTGGGGGTGGGAGGCGGAGGGATTTCGGCAGCCGGCGACGACCGGGGGTGGGAGGAGGAGCAATTTCTACGGCCGGTGACGACCGGGGGAGGGAGGAGGAACGATTTCAGCGGCCGGCGATGACTGGGGGTGGGAGGCAGAAGGATTTGGGCGGTGGCGACCTGGAGGAACCGAGGAAAGGAGGAAGTCAGGTGTGGACTGTGGCGGTTGTGGAGGAAAGGGGGTGGCGGCTGTGGAGGAAAGGGGTAGGGAAGAAAAAACCCTAGAATCTTAGATGGTGGTATTTATACTTAGTTGACCGAGAGCCCACATGTCAGTTGGTTTTTGCGGGTAAACGGGCGAAGCGGGCATAGGTAGTGACTACCCATGCCCGTACCTGTATGACCGTTGGGTACAGGTTTTGACCCAATAAAATACCTATGGATACTAAATGGAGAACAAGTCCAACTCTATTAGGGTTTTTACCCATGGATAAACAGGCAAACGGGTTAAATTGCCATCCCTAGTCTGGTCGATTTGAACCACATACTGTGATTTTTTTTTTCACATAGCGAAACTTTACTCAAAAAATTCAAGGTTACAAAAAACATATATATTATTTGAAAATTAGACCAGGGTGACTGCATTATATATTTATTTATTTGAAAATTGAGTACGTCACTTAAGTACTGTTTGTAAAATTTTCATAAACACTACTTAAAAAACGATTTTCCAGTACATAGACCTTTTAGATTGCAGACGGACCGTAACTAGTCACGTCTGGAAAAATCGTCCTCCTATTTTTGCGTGCGGATCCTTAAGAGGATCACACGTGAAAATTGATTTTCGCAAGCGGGCCTCTTAAGGATCTGCACGCAAAAATAAGCCTATTTTTGCAGGCGGACATCTTAAGAGGGTGCACGCAAAAATTGATTTCGCATGCGGGCGTCTTAAGACCACCGCACGTGAAAATACCCTCCCTCATTTTTCCCTCTCAAAACTTCAAAAATTCCATCCTTATGTCCTTGCTCCAACTCTCTCACCTCCTTATCCTTATCCTCACCTCCAAATCTCTCTCCTCTCCTCTCACGCACTCACGCGGCGGTAGGCGGGCGGCCCGACAGCGGGCGACGGCGGGAGGAGAGGGGCCCTGACCGCCCCCGTCGCCGCCGCCAACGATGACGAGGTGGCCAGGAGCGACGACGACGAGTTGCGGCGGCGACGACGATGACAATGATGGCGGCGACGACGACAGCGACGGCGATGGCAGCGACGGCTGCGATGATGAGAAGGAGGTGGCTGGAACGGAGGCGGACGGCGGCCGTCCCCACGCTCTCCCTATGACGGTGCCGCCCCTCTCCGGCTCTCCCCTGCGCGGATCCGGCGGTGGAGCCCCTCTCCCGCCCTCCGCCGCCCAGATCCGGCGACGATGAGGCACGGCGACGGCAACAGCGACGGCTACGACAACGACGAGCTGAGGCAGCAACTAGGGTTTTGATTTTTCTTCGTGATTTTTTTTTGGAATTTTATTTTCACGTGCGGGCGGCATAAGCACCCGCACGTGAAAATCCAATTTTCATGTGTGGGTGCGCCACCCGCACAGATAAACCCTGATGTTTGCAGAGACTTCTGGGCTGACGGACGCCACCTCTGCACGTAAAAACTGTTTTTGCCCGCACAGGAAAATTGTTTTCGTAGCAGTGAAAAGAGGTGTAAAAAAGCACGCAACGCATGCATATCAAATAATTCGTCGAATACGGAACAAATTGGAATCGCTAGCTATAGTCTCTGTTCACCACCAAAAAGAATCCCACAAAAAAATAATTCTTAACCCTTCTTGTAGGAGTACTCCATATATATACGTAATGCCGTGGCTTAATTTACTATTGCACCGTAATCTTGTGATCAAGGACTTCCCCTTATTTGGTTAATTAGGTGAAGCACCAACTGACTAAAAGTGTATATATAGTTGCGTGTTTAGTCGTCCCACAAACTTTCCAATTTTCCAAGATGCGGGTGCATATATATATATATATATATATATATATATATATATAGTGTAAATCAACTTCGTAATTAAGCATAACTGTCCACTTGTACTTTCTGCAAAATGTGATACATCCTCTGTAGCAGGTGTGGACCAATAATAACCACACTATCAAAAGCAGTTCTGAAAATATATTTATTCCCCCTCTTTCCAAAAAAAATAAAACAGTGGATGAATCATGGGCGCAACATGGTAATAATATAAAAATGATTGTTAACACATAATAATTCCAACAATGTGAAGAACAATTTTGTCTTTAACAACTTTTTTTCTTTTTAAAAAAGCACATGTTTTGCGATTTATTTCTAGAAACCCCCTAAGGGTATGTTCGGAACTGCTGGTTCCCAGCTTCTCCGCCTCCTTTTCCGCACGCACATTTTTCAAACTGTTAAACGGTGTGTTTTTTACCAAAAGTTTATATACGGAAGTTGCTTAAAAAATCATATTGATCCATTTTTGAAAAAAAATAGATAATACTTAATTAATCACGCGCTAATAGACCGCTCCGTTTTCCGTGCGTGTGAGATGGGTTCCCAACACCCACAAACAAACACAGCCTAAGAGTTCGGCAAAAATTTCTTCTGTTGAACTTCATGAAAATAAATGTATCCTACAAAAGGTCATCGCACTACAAATAAAGTGAGATGACAGAAGCTTGATGTTTCAGATAGCTGATTTAGTCAAATATTTAAGCGGTTCGGTTGTACGTCCAACCTCTACCTGAATTAAAATTCTAGATTTAGATCCAGCATCCATCAATTTGATAAGTACACACATGCTTGTCCATACTCGTGCGCGCGGGTGTTTGCTGCCTTTGATAATATCCCAGTTTGCGTAGAGAATACACACACGTATATGGGTTAGTGTGTGCATCAAATGCATTCTCTTAAAAAGAAAGAAATAATTGAGATATTTTAAAAAGCCTAAGGTACATTTCTTGTCTAAATTAATACCATTATGAATAATATATACTTCATACAAATGTTCGAAACCAACATTCGCACGAAGTATCCTTACGAAAAATGTTTGAAACCTGAAATTTCTCAGAATGATATAATAGTTAAAATATAATATGGCAGCTTCTCAACATATTATTCAAAGAACCACTACCTCAAGATAACTTGAATTTTAATATTAGATGAGTTATATAGAAAGACCAGTTTGTGTTGACATGACATGTGGCTGCTGAGTAGTTACATGCAGACAATCCAATCCATCCTTTGGGGGTACAATGAGGGAGCCCCCAACCATTCATTGTTGCAATCATGCTAGCTACTATAGCATTTTCCACCTCCAACACCACCCCCTTCACATGAGCCACGCAACAAAAAGGCCTAATTCCCCCCTCACCCTCTCCCGTTTGCACCACCACCAATCTCTCTCTCTCTCTAAGATCTCTATCTATCTAAAGATCTGAGCTACAATTAATTAAAACCTGATAAGAAGAAGACCCTGAGCTCAATCCCTTCTTATTATACTATATATATACTTCTGTATTTGTGCACAGTGTTGGTACAGGTATCTGCAGACAGCCATATCTATCTTTCTAGCTAATTGGCAATATGCCTGAAGTCCACTGCTCGTCCTAAGATTTACTTCTCCACCCCCCCCCCTCTCCTTTGCTTCTTCTTCTTCATCATCATCTTCTTCCTCCTCCTGTTAATTAAGTTCTTGATTTCTAAGCTAGCAATTGAGCACACATCGATCGCGAGAGACGCAGCGGCGCCCGTCTACCGCGGGGCTAGAGGAATGTCGGCACAGATCGTGCCGGCGCCGGAGCATGTGTGCTACGTGCACTGCAACTTCTGCAACACAATTTTCGCGGTAATTTGTCTGAATTGTTGATCCCTTTCTCCTTCTCTCTCTCTCTCTCCCCTTCCTTGATTTCCTTGCCTCCTCTTTTCTACATGAAGTTTCTTTTCTTTTTTGGGGGGGAACTCTCGATGAAGGTGCAGATCTACAAGGGAGATCGATGCATATATGAGATGATTGGTTGCTTGGCTTTTCTTTAGAATTGTGTATGATTTGGGCAGTTCATTTGCGTGATTTCTTTAATTTTTAATTTGTGCGAAAAGATGTGTGTCATGCTGCCAAGAGATTGGGTTTCGATATATATGTTACTTTTTTTTTACCCAATTACCCTTCGTTTTCTTTCTTTAATTGTCGACAGAGTTCAGATAGCTTCACCTCCTTTCCTTTTCGACTCATTAAAACTCTGGTCCGGTTTTCTCTGAAAGAGAGCTTGTCGACCCTAATTTTTTGATTTAGTCTACCATGGAGTCATGGGCATGATTACATATGAATGGGAAAAAGGGCAAAGGTCATGATGATCTTGAGAATTGAGCTGCTTCTCTCTCTTTGCACCATTTTGTGTCGTTTGATTATATGGGTTCATGAATTATTTGGGCGAGTTGATGAACTTCAATTAACTGGTACGTACTAGAGTAGCTAGCTCTAGATCATCCTTGTTTTCTCTCTCGACTCTTAATTTCCTTCAGAACCTAGCGTAGCTGATGCTAGATCGATCTTACGTACATATGAAGTGCAGTTGATTTTCTTGCCGGTCGACTGGTACTTTATATGGCTACCATATATAAGAGTATCGTCGTTTCAGGTGTTATTACTAGTAATCGAATTGCTACAAATTAAAGAGCATGCAATAATAACCCATAACTTTAATTAGTATATGCAACTACTGTGTATAATGTTCTCCTGCTTGCCTCTTAGATCGATCATCTTTTAAAATCCACTTGCTCATCCCCTCTAAGCACAAATACAGCATCTGAAGGACTCAGAAACGGCAACCTCTCGAAGTACTGTACTGTGTTACAAGAATTAAGGTGCAAATTGCATCAATAATTCCTGTACGTACGTGTTCCCGTGCTAGCTGTTCCACTCATTCGTTCTTCCCGTGCTATATCTTGGCTTTCTTGATGGTTTCTCTTTCTTTTTTTTCTTTTCTTTTTGGTGCAATGCATGGTACGAGTTTAAGGACTAAGTACAAATAACTAGAAATATGTAATTAAAATGAAGCAGAAGCGGTAACCATAAGGCAAAAGGATTATTTACGTCCTTCCGAAAAAAAAATTGTGGTTTGAGCTTGAGCTAGCTTCTTCTCCTTCCTCCTCTTCTTCTTCTTTTTTTTTTTTTTGAGAGAGAGAGAGATGCTTGAGATGGCATGGCCGGCTAGCTTCACTCAATACATGCAAGGGAATTAGATCAGTCCTTATATATAGACTGTAGTTATCAGTGATGTGTTGAACTGGTCTGAATGGTGTTTTAACTAGCTAATCCCCATGTTGAACTCATATATATATATATATATATATATATATATATATATATATATATATATATATATATATATATATACACTATCAGGAATTCGTATAAACATTTTCTCTCTCTATTTTTTTTCTGTTTCCCACTTCTTCTTGGATCTTGCCCTGCTCTGTTTGGAAGTACACGCTGCTAGACTAGTGATATGATATGATCGATTCCCCTCAGTCAGTCAGTCAGTCTGATCTGCATGGGCGGCGAGAGTGCTACGAGATATCTCAAATTCGTCCACACACACCATAATAAATCGTCTCTAGTTTCGCCTACGGTTCTCAATGAATTGAAGTATATATATATCTTTATGTATAGTGCATATCAATTATTCTTGTTGATTAATTAGTTAGTTCCGTTCGACTCTCGACATGTTAACTTCTTGGCACAATTACATGCATACAGTCTTTATATAGGAGTATATATATCTTGTTGATCTGCGCTACTTGCATGCTTCAATATATCTTTCAGACTTTTAGAAGAGAAATTATATTCCTTATCTCTGAAGTCTAAATAGCTACTGTAGTTTGTAAGAACTTTATTGGAGGCCATCTTTTACTCCATCTCAATCTCTCCTACTCCCTCCAGAAAGATAATCAAAATAAGCGCATTTGGGAACAAATATAGCTAGTGACCATTAATGAGAGTCGGGCCCAAACAATTCAAGTATTGTAAATACCATAACAGCAAAAAGTAGAATACACCAAAATGAGTCTATTACCAGTTCCAGGAAGAGCACACCAAATGACAGAAACTATTACTCAATCCCAAAACAAATTAATTTTTACTATAGCTAATTAGCTATGAACTTGGAAAGTAGTGACCGGGATATAGAGAGTGTACACGCCAACGACAAATGCAGAGCCGTACGTACTGACTTCCTGCATCTACATCACCAACTGTAATGTCAATTGCTGAGGCGTAGTACACATGTCTAGTGTAGATAGTACATGTATAGCTACATATGCATCCATGCATGATCTTTCACAAGATCTTACCAGCATGTCTCAACTTTACTACTGCAACTCCAATACTTATATATGTATGTCTTCTTGCTCTCTCCTACCGAAAGATGAAAAAAAGGGGATTGAATCATCTTGTGCATTGCATGACCCACACTTAAATGTACTCCCTCCATCCAAAAAAAACTCAACCAACCCTCCTAAGACAACGAATCTGGACAAAAGATAGTCCAGATTCATTTTTTTTGACAGAGGGAGTACCCACACAAACACACATGCAGGAGAGGAGATGTTGTGCTTGAGAGTGAATTGGCTTCTGCATGAAGGGTCACTGTCTCTAGCTAGCACCTTTCTTTCCTGCACTGTTCATGCATGTAGCTGAAGGCTTTGTGATTTCCTACTACTGCTACTACTACTCTGTGGAGAGGCCAGACAGAGGCATGACATGACATACCATGCAAATGCATGGCTTCTTCCTTTAAAAAAGTCACCAAGAGATATGTTGTGAGGTTGTTTGCTTCTGTCACAACCAACTACTAGCAGCTAGCCCTTTTGTGCTAGATATGTGTGGAGTGAAGTGTGATTTGAGCTAACTCCCCTCATGGGAGCACACACAATCATTCTCATTCAGTCACTTTGCTTAATTATTTCTTTCTTCTTTCTTATGGGAGTGAGTGCCCAAAAAGTGAGTGAATGTAGGGAATCAAACAAAGTAGAGGTACTGTGCTCTTCAGGTTTGGGAAGAAAAATGGGAACGGCAAGGGACCAATGTGTGCAGGCATTGGAAAAGGGTGCCCCCAATTCTGATCTGATCAGATATATATTCAGATCAGCAGAGCCCCTGATAAAAGTCATGGAGGAACAGTTATCCACATCTAAAGCTATAGCTGTGTATTAATGTGTATCTGCAGTCTACACCAGCCTTATGAAACATGCATGCATGCATGCATGCCTTTGAGATTTGATTTTTTACTTCTCAGATTCTTTTGTACAAATGCAAAAAGAAAATGATCCTTTGGAATCTAGCATTTGTTACATATTTACAATATAAAGTGCTATACTTGTTTACTTTTCATTCTACTTGTTCCAGCACATGCATATGTAATTGTACACCTGCTCAAATTTACAATGAGTGGCATATATATTATACATATTAATTACGGCTTACTTGTATTTCTTCCATAAAAAAACATGTCTAGAATATTTCTTTTCTTGACAGTAAATATTCAGGACATATTATACTGATTCTTGGAATCAATCTACAGGTCAGTGTTCCAAGCAATAGCATGCTAAACATCGTGACCGTCCGTTGTGGCCATTGCACTAGCCTGTTGTCAGTGAACTTGCGAGGATTGGTCCAAGCACTCCCAGCAGAAGATCATTTACAGGTTGACACATCAATACATACTACTCTTTCATGCATGAAATTATGGATACAGATACAATGACTACATTAAATCATATTATCTCTTTTTAATAAAAAAAACACACATATGTTGCCTATATATATCTAGAATCCAAATTAATGGCACTTTTCAATCATAACCATTGCTACTGCATGCTTAGTCTGATAGAGCTAGAAATCAAAGAACAATTAATGTATATGTACCGGAGCATTCTTCACATACCCAGCTGGAAAAAAAATCACATGCAGATCGATGTATGTTAAACTACCCTATATATGTCGAAGTAGTATAGTACTACTAGTATATGTAGATAACTACTCCCTCCGTTTCACAATGTAAGTCATTCTAGCATTTCTCACATTTATACTGATGTTAATAAATCTAGACATATATATCTATCTAGATTCATTAGCATCAATGTAAATGTGAGAAATGCTAGAATGACTTACATTGTGAAACAGATGAAGTAGATTTTACTCACAGAGAAAAACGGAAAAGACACCATGCAATGCATGCATGGGTCATCTCAAGCTTGAATACTTTACATGTACAGCAGAGACAAATTAAAGCATTGCACTATTTACTCACAGGAAAGAATTTTAAAGCTCTTGCACATGCCAAAATATATACTAGGAGTACCAAGCCATATGGCTAGATCAGCTAGCTAGCTCAGGTTGCTCAGCTGATCTTATACTACATGACTTGTGCCCCTTTGTCAAACCCTGCAGGGTTATTCCCCGCAAAAAAAAATAATAACAAATCCTGTAGGGTTATTGATAAATACTAGTAGATGTTTTGCATTTGTTTTTATATGCTACTATATATAATGGAAAAAATCCTGCCACACAAGTACTCGAATTAAATTTCCAATATGAAAAGCACGAATTTCGAATTCCGGCAATAACTACATGTTAGGTTTGATATACTCCCTCCGTCAGTAAGGGTGTGTTTAGTTCACGCTAAAATTGGAAGTTTGATTGAAATTGAAAAGATGTGACGGAAAAGATGGAAGTTTGTGTGTGTAGGAAAGTTTTGATGTGATGGAAAAGTTGAAAGTTTGAAAAAAAAAGTTTGGAACTAAACTCGGCCTAAATATGAGGGATACGTTACTATAGAATGTACAAAATTGATTCGCCAAATTCATGTTTAGAGATTTTCATGTTTGCTTCACAAAACAATCAAAAGCCATACAGATTTTTCGAAATGATCTGAACAGTAACCACCAATGTTTTACTTAATTTTCTTGTCTTGACTTGGTTATAATTTCCATGTAAATACACACTAAGTAGCATCTAGAGGAAAAATGTGTGACTTTAAGTTGATTAACTTGCTTCTTACATTTTCCTCAGGACAATTTGAAGATGCACAATATGAGCTTCCGCGAAAACTACTCTGAATATGGCTCATCTTCCAGATATGGCCGAGTGCCAATGATGTTCTCAAAAAATGACACAGAGCATATGCTGCACGTGCGACGTAAGACAATGCATATGAACCTGCATAATAAATTTAGTGTACATGTGCGACGGAGCCATATTTCTAGAGATTATTGATTTTACTATATGAAGCAATATAAAGGTATACAAATGCTAGGGGAATATTGCATATATTCACATATACATGCTGGGTGCATATACCACTTTTCTTCTCCAAACCCTTTTTATCTTTGTTGTTTTGCTCAGACAACTGGGGTACGTGTGTTACTTCTTAATTAACACAAATACATGTATAGAGAAATTATACTGGCTTAATCAATTCCTGAGTTATGCACCTTTTTTTAAACAGATATATTTAGAAAATTCGACGAGGGATAAAGCTCTACTAAAAAGTCAGAAAAATAGAAAATTTAAACAAGTTGCATTGATTCAGCTAGAGGTGGATAATAAACTAGCTAGGCTCACAAGCTGGCTTGTTAAGCTCGAGTTTTATATCAATTTAACATGTATTAATCTATTATATGTTCACATAATAGTAAACACTACTCCCTCTGTTTCATATTAAAGTCGTTTCATATTATAAGTTATTTTGATTTTATAAAAAAAGTCGTTTTGATTGTTTTCCTAGCTAGTCAAAGTAATTTAAGTATGACCAAGTTTACAGAAATATATAGTAACATTTCTAATACAGAACAAACATATTAAAACATATTCAATGCTAGATTTAATATAACTAATTTGGTGTTTTAAGTGTTGCAAAAGGTTTCTATAAATTTAATCAAAACTTTAAAAAATTTTGACTAGAAAAAGTCAAAATGACTTATTACGTGAAACGGAGGAAGAGTAACTAGTAAAGTACTAACTAGACATGAAAAGTTTGAAAGTAATTTCAAGAAGTATTATCCATAGTATAAGTATTGACTAATAGGCACTCGGTATATATGGAAAATATGGTGTGTCTAGTTAAGCTAACAAGCTAAAAATCCATCTCACGAGTTCGAGTCGATCAGCCAAGCCACAAGCTTTGAGTTTTTTTCCCCAACCCTAGCTAGGCTTAGGCCCTCTTTGTTTAGGCTTATAAGCTAACTTATAAGTCGAAAAGTCTAAGCCTAAACAAACAAACAGCTTTTCTGTTTGGCTTTTTTGAAGCCATAAGCCACTCTAACACTATTAAGCCAAAAGCTAGGTTGGAGAAGCTTTTTTGTCTTATGTGAGATAGATGTATGACTCAACTACTAAACTTAGGACATTAAATCCACCGGCTTATAAATCATATAAGCCAATAAGCTGACTTAAAAGTCTAGGCCAATAAGCTTAAGCCTAAACAAAAAGGCGCGTCTGCTGTTATTGATCAGGTTGAGTTCTGTTAAAGTTTATGGTCCCCATCGCTTGGCTTATTTCCTAATAAGCCAAAACGGCTTATTAGGAAATAAAAATGAATTTTTAGGTAAAACTTTTATAATTGTGTTTTTGGTGACTTAAAAGCCAATGTTGAAAAAGAAACTACGTTGAAAATATCTCAAAATCAATCTCAAAATTAAGCTTGAAAATTCAAATTTTGGCTTTTTCTTTAGCTGATTAGGCCATCCGATAGGAGCCATCCGATAGGAGCCTATACTGGGCTGTATATAGAAATTATTCTTATATGAATTAATGAATGAAACGAGATGTGCATGTGTGCGTGAGTTCTAGCTAGTAGCTAGTACCATGCATGGTTCGGTTAAAGATTTTTCCGTGCGGTCAAAATGCATTTTTCAGTGCGGAGGTCCCGCCCGACTGTACCCTGCATGTCTGCGAAAATCCATATTTTCACGTGCGGGCGGCCTAACCGCATGAGATAATCCATCTTCCCGTGCGGTCGGGTTAAGTAGACCACACGGGATAATCGATTATCCCGTGCGGTCAAATTATACCGCCCGCACGCAAAAAAAACTGAAAAAAAAAATAAAATAAAAAACACTAACCCTAACCCTAGAAATCTAGAATCGCCCGCTGCCGCCGCTCGTGTTCGCCATCGTCCTCATGTCGTCGTCGTGGTCGCACCGTCGCCGCTCTCATCGTCGTCGTTGTGGTCGCGCTGCCGCCGCTCCTGGCCGCCGTCACTGCTCCCGGTTGCCAGCACGGCGCGGATCCGACCGGTCACCCACCGCGCTGTCTCCGCCAGCAGCCGTCGTGCCGCCCGCTCCCGGCCGCCGCCTCGTTGGCGGCAAGCCGGGCAACTCCCGCGCCCCGTGCGCTCGGTGGGGAGGGGAGGAGCTAGAGGAAAGGCAGAGAGAGAGAGGAGTGATTGAGGGTGAATAAAAGGGAAAATGAATAGAGAAGATGAAAAATTTAAAGTGAGTAAGAGAGAAAAGAGGGAGAGGTATTTTTGCGTGCGGTCCACTTAAGAGGCCCGCACGTGAAAATCGGTTTTCGCGTGCGGGCCTCTTAAGGGTCAACACGCAAAAATAGGCTTATTTTTGCGTGCGGACCGTTAAGAGGCCTGTCTGCGAAAATCGATTTTTGCGTGCGGGTCTCTTAAGAGTCCGCACGCGAAAATGGGAGGCCAATTTCTGCAGACGCGCGCGAAAACGGTCCGTCTGGGAAAATGGAAGCTCCTTGTCCAGAAAAATGTTTTGTGTACTTGTATATATTTGAAAATACTGATGCATGAACTAGCTACTTGAGTACTATTTCATTTTGTGAGCCCAAAAATATTGACGTACGAACTACTTGACTACTACGTACTCCTATTAATTTCTTGAAAAACCTAGGAGTAGTATACATACTCTCAAGAGTATGTGCTTTAGATAGTAATTAAACAGTATCTGGATGCTTATACTTTTTTTTTACAAATCTTTTTCATACAACTTGCAGCTCCAGAGAAGAGGCAGCGGGTTCCTTCAGCTTATAACAGATTTATCAAGTGAGTTTGATCTCGAGACAATTCGATCGATCCATATATATATATAGATCGTCTAGACAGCTTATAACATCTGAGAGTTTTCAGATAATTGATATAAATCTGCCGTATTCTATACTAAGTGTGTTTGATTTTGACACCCACTAATATATCACTACAGGGAAGAGATCCGGAGGATAAAAGCAAACAATCCTGACATAAGCCACAGAGAAGCCTTCAGTACTGCAGCAAAGAATGTTAGTACATGTGTAGCTAGGGGAAACAAATTACTATCTTAATTACTTTTACATATACTGATATAATAGCTGTTCTTTTTTTTACTACAAACTATAATGCAAATTCTCACACACTTTGGCCTGGTTTAGTTTCCAACTTTTTCTTCAAACTTCCAACTTTTCCATCACATCGTTCCAATTTTAACTAAACTTCTAATTTTAGCGTGAACTAAACACACCCTTGATCATTGCTGAATATATATTGATAGAAGTATGTGAGCCATATACATAGAGTTACATATCATCAATACTACATATTGTTGACTTTGTATGTCACTGCTAGCAAGATATTAAATCCATGGCAATTGCCATTTGCTTAATACTCTTATACATATAGTAATGTCCATATTGATCACTGAATACTCAGTCTATATGAATTTAATTTATATAACATATTCGTAAAAAAAAATAGTGGTCAAAGTTATATATTTAAGACCATGTCATCGTCTAAACCATCATCTACTTCTGACTAGAGGGAGTAACTCTCATCTCATATGCATCCTACTTTTTTTTTTTTTTGCAGTGGGCGCATTTCCCGAACATCCATTTCGGGTTAGGCTCCCATGAGAGCAGCAAGAAGCTCGATGAGGCCATTGGAGCTCCTAGTCCCCAAAAGGTTCAAAGGCTGTATTGATCGAGTACACATGATGATCGATGGATCCTACGTGCTTGTTGATCTCATGTTGTAAGTAACTTAATTAAGAAAAAAAGTCTACGCTTATTTATTTCTTAAGTATCATCAGTTAAATTTGTGAGCGAGTATATAGATGAGTTGTCATGATCAGTGAGTGATCGTATGCATGCAGTGCTGAGAATTAAAGGTGTATATGCATGAGTAACGTTACATGCAGCTAGTGTCGACGCACGTATGACAGACTGAATAAACTCTTCACCATGTTGTTTTTTTATGTTTGAAATGAATTAATTAATTGTCCATGATTGCAATCCATTTCATACCGGTATTATTGGCCAGTGCAGATCAAAGTTTCTACAGCTTATAAGTACTATATATCGTATCGTATATGTGTGCACGATGCACTAATCCATTGTCATTTGTCTACACGGTTCGCAAGATCGATCATACTGTGTACACATGCATACTGTGCATAGTGCTGTTCTTTTGTGCTAAATACTAAACATATGAATTGTTAATCAGTAATGTACTACTATATTATATATATAATACTATATGTATGTAGATTTTAATGAAAGATTGAGCTTGCATTTATCCTGCAATTGAGAAACATTGGACCAGGTGAAATGGTACTCCTTCCGTTCCATTTTAAGTGCAACCATAAGTTTCCGTGCCCAACTTTAATCGTCCATCTTATTTAAAATTTTAGACTTTTTTTTCACATCATTCTCAGTTACTTTGACACTTTGCTAAGACTATATATAATTATATTGATGAGTAAAACAGTACCAATATACAAAATATATTGAGAATTATGTAACTATATAGTACCTTGTTACATTCTAACAACGTTATTTTTTACTTTTATTTGTAGTTTTAATTGATGTTGTCTCCAAATATTTCGAGCCAGATGTGTAGATATATATACCCTTAGGCTATCTCCAACAATGAAACCCAAAATACAAGACCCATTTCACGTTTGTATAGCGCTACAGTCAAAGAGTTCAATACCCATTTTTGGTCTTCTCCAACAATAAGACCTAAAAGAGAACCCTTACTGCAAATAGGTCTTCAGGAGAGAGGATACTCAGATTTAGGTTATGCCTCTTATAGCACGCAAAATGGGTCTTCTGTATAGGTACTCTGTTGGAAGCTGAAATAGTACTATCGGAGACCCATTTTAGATTTGGGTGTCTTTATGGGTTACTTATTGAAGACAGTCTTATACATACATACTGGAGTAAATATGCATATGGATATATTCACATTGAATTCTTCTGCAGCTAGTTAGCTAGCTACACACACATAATGACATTATATAGTGCACTGTGTGGACTGTGGCGATGGCATGCATCGATCGGCCACGCGCGCGTACCGAGTAATCGACGTATGATCGCATGCATGCGATCATCCTGCCATGCATGCATGCATTTGACAGGGCCACTAGTCACGATGCAGCAGCTGCTAGCTGCCTCCCCATCTATGTGCTGGAGAAATTACTCCTACTACAGCTTCTCCATGCATGGAATCTCGATCATAATTTGCTTTGCTTTGTACTGCTCCCTTCATTCTAAATTGATCTACATATAATTTTTTTTAAGGTTATTCCTAAATAATCTACATATTTGTGTTCATTTATCAAGTCTATTCGTTATTTGTGCATGGGAGTAAATTGACATTGATGTATGTATCCATGCACGCAAGTATTTATAGCCCACATGCAATATCTTGGTATTTGCTATTGGTTAGGAAATAGTGGGGATGTTGCATGCATCGAGTTTGTTGCTAGAGTAAATATAGTATGAGAGAGTTATTAGCTTTTTTTGGTCTTGATGTACCTATGAAATATGTAGATCAATTTGGAATGGAGGGAGTACTACACTAGCTGCTGTGCTGATTATCATGAGCTCAGCATTGCAGATTCATCACTGATGATTTACTGACTTTTGGTCTCTCTCTCTGCTAGCTCTCTCTGTATGTGGTGCATATATTTCAATTAATCTGGCTCCAATTTGGTCGTTTCGACCCAGTACAGCACGTACCAGCATTTGTTTTCTTGCTGGTATGCTGGTAGTACTAGCTAGAGCTGGTGGCCAGCCTGAGACAGAATGACAATGGCTCATATAGAATTGAATGGCCTGCAGAGCAACATACTACTACTATATACCGGTCAGTGTTCCAATTATGGGACAGTATAAAAGTTTGGGCCACCAAAAGTTTTGAGGGGCTGTTTAGTTTCCAAAACAAAAATTTTTACCTATCACATTGAATATTTGACACATGTATAAAGTATTAAATGTGGACAAAATAAAAAACCAATTACACAGTTTGCGTGTAAATTGCGAGACGAATCTTTTAAGCCTAATTGCACCGGCCATGATTTGACAATGTGGTGCTACAGTAAACATTTGCTAATGACGGATCAATTAGGCTTAATAAATTCGTCTCGCAGTTTACTGACGAAATCTGTAATTTGTTTTGTTATTATTAGACAACGTTTAATACTTCAAATGTGTATTTGTATATTCGGTGTGACAACCAAACCTAAAATTTTTCCCCAACTAAACAAGGTCTGAATTACCACGTCCATCCAAAAATTAATATACTGGAATAGCTATTTCTGGCTGTGAAATACACACTCCATTCAAAAATATATTCATACTTCATGTAACAAAGACACGAAACTATGTGCATGCAAGTAACACTGGTGGAGAAACCATCTTTGCTCGGTTAGCCAAAATCCACAATATTCCCGGTTGTAATAAAAACCGGGATTAAAGATTATCTTTAGTCCCGGTTCAAAAGTTTAGAGCTGCTTTTTAAACCAATCGGAACTAAAGATCTATTTTTACCAACCGGAAAAAAAGATGCCTACTATCTTTAGTCCTGGTTGATATTACCAACCGGGACTAAAGATCTATGTTTAGTCCCGGTTGGTAATACCAACCGGAACAAAAGATAGTGGCGGAGAGTACGAGGCATCTGCCATCTGCGAGATCGAGGAGGAGGAGACGGGCAGCCTTATCTCTTCACCTCTTCCTCCACTGACCTTATCTCTTCATCCCATCTCTTCCTCTTCCTCCTCCTCCTCTCCTCTAACTCCTCTCCTTCCCTCCCCCATTATCCCTTCCTCTTCCTCCTCTCTAACTTCTCCTCTAACTCCTCTCCTTCTCTCCCCATCATCCCATTGGGCGGCCGGCGGCCGGCAGCCTCGCGGCGGGGCGCCGGCGGGCGAAGGCCCTGGCGGCGGCCTCGCGGCGGCGCGGCGGGGCGGAGGCCCGGGCGGCGGCCTCACGGCGGTGGGCGGCGCTGTGGCGCGGCAGCGCGGCGGCATACTGCAGGGCCTCGCGGCGGGCGGCGCGCCGTCGGCTGGCGCGGCAGCGGCCGACAACCTGTGTTTTTTTTCTTTTTTTTTAAGAATTTGTGATTCGGATCTATGTATTTGATTTGTGTGTGATGTCCGTGAATATGTGATGTATTTGTGATGAATTTTGTAGAAGTTGTGATGTAATTTTGTGTTAAGATTTTGTGATCTATTTGAATATGGCCGATTTGGGGATTTGAGGATTGGGGATAATTTATTTGGGATTTTGGGATGGGGATAGAGTAAAATCAATATATTAAAAACACAATGAAGAAAAGAAAATAATAATTGAGCAATCGGATCTAGCTAGCTAGGCTAGCTCTATCTTTAGTCCCGATTGGTGTTACCAACCGGGACTAAAAAGGCTCTATCTTTAGTCCCAGTTGGTAACACCAACCGGGACTAAAGATGTAATTTTACTCCCGGTTTTTTCACCCGGGACTAAAGACAGTGATCTTTAGTCCCGGATTGGTAGTCCTGGTTTGAAAACCGAGACTACAGGGAGGTTACGAACCGGGAGTAAAACCCCTTTCTCTACCAGTGTAACTAGAGTACTAAGATGGATGATCGGGTTACAGTTAACAATTTAATTTAGCACCGTAAAATAAAAAGATAACTCCTTCATTTAAGTCTTAGATGCATGGAGACTACAAATATACCATCTCATTTGGAAAATAAAAACTAGAAAATGAAATAGTCTCAAGGCTTTTGGACGGAGGGAGTACAAGCTAAAAAAACAACTATATTTTAGGACAGGGGTAGCTTACTCCCTTCATCTCAAAATATAAACATTTCTAGCTATAACAGCTGCTTGTTCAAATTCATAGTAAATACTCCCTCCGTCCCATAATATAAGGGATTTTAAATTTTTGCTTGTAACGTTTGACCACTCGTCTTATTCAAATTTTTTTAAAATTATTATTTATTTTATTTGTGACTTACTTTATTATCTACGGTACTTTAAGCACAACTTTTCGGCTTTTATATTTGCAAAAAAAAATTTAAATAAGACGAGTGGTCAAACGTTGCAAACAAAAACTCAAAATCCCTTATATTGTGGGACGGAGGGAGTAGTTACTATATTTTGGAACAAATGTAGTAATGAGTTATTCAAAATATAATAGAAGGTTGTATAAACATTATTGTCATTCCTTCCATTTAAAAAATTATTGTAAATCTCTATTACTATAAAAGGGCAATCATCCTCCTTCCATCCTCTCTTCTTATTGTGTGCAGCGCATCTCCGTTTGCATAACTACTACATCCAATATTCCTCAATCGCCCTTCTAGCTAGCCCATCCCTAATTATTAGGTTTAGCCCGTTACAATGTATTAATAAAAAAATAAATATAGATCTTATGCTTAAGATACGTTTAATGTTAAAACAAGTCGATCACAACAAAATAAATCTTTCTTAAATAGTTCTTTTAGCAAAACAAGTGATCAAACGTTATATTTGAAACTTAACATCACATATTTAAAAAAAAAAAGAGGTGGCCGCGACTGTCGTAACAGTATTCATCTCCTAGCCTAGGGCTCCGGTGAAAAAAAAATAGTCGTACAGCGTTTAAATTCTCTATGACCCTGTTGGGGGCACCGAAAAATTTTTCATTTATAGATCGATCCGCTAGCAATTTTTGGTGCCCCAAGTTTACTGGTGAAATTAACAAAAACACACACACACATGCACTGTAGGGAGAAAATTGACATTGTGCCACTTTGAAGAGTGGGTTTCGCTATAATGCCACTCCGCAAAGTGGCTTTGTTAAAATGCCATCGCCAATGACTGCCAACACGCTGCTTCGCATTTTTCCATTTTCACCGGATTAAGGCACGAATTCGCTTGTGTTGTGACCAATGTGCCCCTGACTCATCCACGGCGATGACGTCCGCCGCCACGTCATCGCCGCCGTGGACAGGTCGTGGTGCTCAACGGTGGCGGGAGTGAGGG